TATATATATATATACATGCATCTCTCTCTCTCTCCGTCTATCTACCTACCTATCTACCCATCCATCTATCCATCTACCAAATCCACCTGTGTGCACACATAGGCATACGTACTATAGTCGTATCTGTAGAAAACACACCCCAGCGACACTAGTCGCGAAGTAACTGGGCAATACACCACCAATCACGCGACGCTGGCAAGATTCGAAATCGTGCGTCACTAGCAATAGTTGAGAAAGCCGGTAATATTCCAGACTTCGTTGCGGGAGCGTGTCTGTTAATCTTTTGTGCCTGATAGCTTCAAGTTTACAAGCAGACATTTAGGCTTCGCCCAAACGCCAAAAACACTCAGTGCCGATTCACAGGCTGGAGAACTGGACAAGTGGAAGTGACTTGTCATCTTTGAGGATACTGTCCAGGTTGGGACGTACAGACCTTAAGACTTCTGCACGAGCTTGTGGTGCTACAGGAGCTATGACAAGATTTGTTGCTATTTGTTCTGTGTTCAGATGCCGAATAACTCTAGTGGGAACGCTAGTGTGACAATTACCCCGAAACCCGATTGTAACTGCTTAGCTCCCACCAAACCTACACCCTGAGATCTACTAAGAAACCCTCAAGCCCCGAAACAGACCACGTCGAGCCTTTGAGGCGCAACGGGAGCTCCCCGAACAGCTCAGGCACGATTGGGGTGGTGTCACCGAGGCAGAGCAGCTGTCCTCAGCGAGGGTTTTGTTTGCCTCCTGCTTGGCTAAGACGAACCTACGATCTCAAAGGAGGACACCATCTGCAAGATTCGCACTCCAAATCCTACACTCTGCCGCGGGCCGGTTTTCTGCTGGCATCGGTACACCCAGGGCCCAGGATGCTTATGGCTGTGGTGATTGCTGAAGTGTCGGTGATGATGGTAATGGTGGCGATGGTGATGATGACGATGATAATGGTACCATGACGCTGGTGATGATGGCGATGAAGAAAAAGTTGCTGCTAAAATGCTACTGCTACTATGAAAACGATGACAACAACGCTGGCAGTACTGGGCTGGATGACAACACAAACAAGACTGACAGTACCAGTACTTGTCGAACTACTCGAACCATTGCCGGTAAAGTTCGGAAATTGTGGCTGCCGTCATAAGCCATGAACATGCTTTACAGCTGTATCGTCGTTGGCCTTGAGGATTTGACCTGGAAGGTATGAGGCTGGAGTCATAAAGAAGAACGTGCCTACAGCCACGTGGCCTAGGCTTTCGAGACCATGGGCCTAAACCCTCAACCCCACAAGACAGAAACCTGGCCTATAGCTTCCAGGGCATTAAAAAAGAGGGTCTTGGTTACAGTATACGATTTTTTAATGACTTGAAGCGAATAACATGAAACCGAACCCCGACTCCTATCATCAGATATCATGAGCATATTATGACACATTGTAACAATATTGTATTATCGTCCTAGAGTCCTGTTTTATTATAAAATGATAGTGAGTTTATAGTTTTTGGCTCTGCGGGGCCGGCGGGTGATGGCTTCCATTTTCGAAGGCGCACTTCACGAGGTATACAGAGGTCTCGGGTCCAGGGTTTGGGTGTCGACACGCACACTCGCACCAGCATGCACGGATCCACAGACGAGTCCCACTACAAAGCTTACGCTCTCGCGCCTCGGACAAGCCGGACGAGGTCTCTCGGTTCGAGAGTCACAGTACAAAGGTTGAGGTCAAGTAGTTGCGGTTTCGGGTTGATGGTTTGGGATTCAGCTGGGGGGATTTCGTAACTCAAACCTCGGAAGAAGCCGAAGGTTACACTGCGCATGGCCTTTTTCTCACCTAAACACCCAGCCCTAAACCTTGAGGGGGCATGAACTCTCGCAGTGATTCAGGTGAGCAACCTGCCAAGGCAACCAGCGGCCGCCGCAAGGCCTCTGCAGAGGCTGGCGTATGCTGGTGCAATAAACGCATCTGAAGAATACTTTGTAGGAGTTTTTCCCTATAGTCCCCATACAATTCAGCGATTACGGTGCAGGAAACAAAACACGATCATGACACTGTTTCAAGCATTAAAGCCCCCGAAGTATTGGAAAAGTGAGGCCTCGACTGTGCAGCATGGGCCCGTCTTGAGCTGAAGCTTCCGAAAAACGTACGCCTTCGAATTTGGGTTAGTGCTGCAAACTTTAGATGCTAGATGCCTCCTGCTAGCTGGTAATTTGACGGTTCTAGGAGTCTAGGACCCTAGGAATCACTGGTGTCTCGCGTTGCAATGAGGCGGACCCTTCGGCTAACCGCAATTTGGCGAAGCTGAAAGGCCTCAAGGCCACCGCGTGGCGAGAGATGCGCAAGGAGCCTCAGTTCTCACTTGGGCGCTGCTGGCGTGTGGAGATGAGCCTACATGGTTTTTTGGCACTGGGGTTTCGGGACTTAGTGCGACTTGTTTTTGGGAGTGATTCCAGATTCTACGAAGCAGCTGGGAAAGGCCCGTTTGATCTTGAGATCTTCGCGCAGGCGAGTCCAGAACATCGGACAAACAAGATTGGAAGTCCAGCCACCTCCTGAATGACCAAAGGTAAACCCATGCTCCAGGCCTTCAGAGAGTTCACAAGTCCAGTAAAGCTGAGAACGCCCCTAGTAGGGCACCTGGTCATACCCCTTACTCAACCCTGAGCTCCACGGCCGAAACCCACTCTATTTGCGAACTACGAAGACCATGGAGCGTGAAGGCCATGCGCCTGAGTCATGGGAACATACCTTTGCAAAATAAAACGCCTGGAGTAAGCATAGAACTCAGATTCTAGTTCCGCCTTGGAGGAAAGAGCCACACAACTCTCCCCGACAACAACCTCTCGACTGTTGCGCCCTTGTCTCGTGAACCCTTTGCCAGAACACCATTGGTTATACCAATAATGCCAATTGTCAAAAGCCCTTGAGCCTCATCGAAGGACTCTTGAACCTCAAGGGAGCCCTAAAGCCATTGAGACTAAACCCTTTTCTTCCTAAACTGTCTACCATGCTACCCTAAACCCTAGACCCCGGCATGCGCCAAATGAACATGGCCCGATCGACTGCTTACCATCCTCCTCACTTCCGCATCGCGCATCGTCCGGGAGGCTGGCCAGAAGCCTGTTTAGATCTGTTTCTGGTTTAATGTAGGGGCCTTAATA